AATTCAGGTTGAGTTTGGGTAGAATCCAAAATAAACTTGTTGTTCTAAACCCAATACATATATTATATAATATTTACTTAAATTAACAACTAATAACTTCAACCAAGTTTTTAACAGTGCTAATGCTAGAACAAAATGAAAATGAACGAGATATACAGAGAACGATAGAACAAAAATAAAAAACTAGTGCTAATGCTTTATATATATATAATTTTTTTTTAATTTGTCAGGTTCGAGTTGAACCCATGAACCCGAGGTCTTAACCCGAGCTCAACCTAAATTGAATTCAGGTTAAAATTTTTTAACCCAAGTCCAACCCAAGTATTAAAAACCCTTTCTCAAACCCTAATTTTTTTTGGTTGGGTTCGGGTTGCCCAATCCAAGTTGCACCCCTAAAAGGAGTCGGTTATGGACAAATAATAGTCCATAATTACTACATATGTAAAAACAAGTTGATTTTTTTAAAAAGTCTCAATGATAATTTGGCTAGAAATGGTAAATTTTACATAAATTTTTAAGCAAATTTTATTTTATACCCTAAAAGATTTCATAATTCTCATTTTATACCGTTAAAAATTAAATTTCTCATATTACACTCTCAATATATCAAAAGTGTTGTAATATGATCATTCTGTTAGTTTTTCTGTCAAATATTAAATTTCGTGGAATGTCTACTGAACTATGACAATCAATTTCAAATTGCTTGAAACTCAAGTACTTGTTGATATCGGGAATGGTCATGTGTTTCACACAATGACCCGGAAAGATATTCTTGGCTTAGGACAATTGTTGTCCTTTGTCTCACTTTTATAAAAGAAAATTCTATGTACCATATAGAATGCGTGACCTGAGTAGCAAATAATTCTAAACTACTATAAAATCAAATACTTCTTGTTAAGTTCCAAACATTTGTTTGGCTTATGTTATTTCATATGTGTTTCCCACTTTTCGCCTGCCCCAAATCATTTTCTTATTTTTGACATAGATATTCTGCTTTAACTGGACCGGGGAGTGAATTAATCGAAGTGCGTTTAAACTGGTTTAGACACTCTTAACCGTTGGACAAAAAAAAAAGTCACTTCCTTATATAACTATTATAATCATTCTCTTTTATTGACGAGTGGACGTGAAATAACTCGGCTTATAATTGGTTTTCATTTTCAGTATGTTTGTTGTATGCTTTGAAATTCCATGAGATAACAAATTGTAATCCACTTACTTATGAATTATTTGATATAATTGTCAATAACCTCATATATGTTTTCAGTTTTAATTTGGAAAACATGAAAATGATCAAGTTTTTGAAAAAGGACATTTGTACATCAATATAAGTCCTTAATCACCTTGGTTTGGTAAACGAGACAAGGCAGCAGGCGCAACCTTAGACATTTTTGGAACATAAAGTTGAAATAATAAATGATTTTTTTTAATTTTTAATATTAATAATGAATTTAATTTTTAATTTTTGAATTATAAAAATATTAATTAAGTTTTTGTATTCAAGCTTTTGTTATCATATTTGAACTTCACGGTGACAGAGAAACAGACAGAGAGAAAGAGGGCAGGGAGGGATGGAGGGAGAGGATGATTGAAAAAATTATAATGGTAAGTTTGAACTTGACTTTGTTGGGGGTTGAGACTTGATTTTTCAGATTTACTGTTAGTTTTTTTTCTTGTCTTGTTTTTTTCAAGAAATTGAATTTTAGGGCCTTCTAATTTTGGGGCTGAATTAATAAGCCTAATATAGTCAAGTTGAAATATTTTGTTTGGTCATAAATCTATGATTTTTGTGGGGCCTATTTTTTAATGGATTCACATTTTATGTTTTGACTATTATTACACACCTATAAATGAGGTCTTAGAAAGGGANTTCCATAATGGTTTGATTCATTCTCTCCACTACACCATTATATTGTGGGGTATGTGGTACCGTCTTCTCATGTCTGATATCATAATTACCACAGTATTCTTTGAACTCTCTGGAAGTGTATTCGTCTCCATTGTCTGTTCGAAGACACTTCAACTTCTTTCCCGTTTCCTACTCTACCATGGTATGGAACCTTTTGAAGCATTCGAATACTTGGTCCTTTGTCTTTAGGAAGTACACCCACACCTTCCGTGAAGCATCATCAATAAAGGTCAAAAAATATATATTTTTGCCTAATGATTCTACCTCCAAGGGACCGCAAATATCAGAGTTTACCAAGCTTAACAATTGTGATCTCTTCTTCATAGAGGATCTGAATGAGACTCGATGATGTTTACCAAACAAGCAATGTTCACAAGGATTAAGAACAACATCCTTGACGAATGTGATGAGACCCTTCTTTGCTAAAGTAAACAACCTTTTTTCCCCCATATGACCGAGTCTCTGGTGCCACAGATTTGGTGAAGCCTCATTTTCAACTACATTGAGGCTGTCTGAGCAGACCTTTAAATGGTTCTTATAAAGCATGCCACAAATATGTCCTCAAGCGACAATCATGACACCTTTGTGAGCTTCCATGTGCCATTGTTGAAATGGTTATCATAACCCTACCTGTCAAGGGCTATCCCTGAAAGTAAATTTAATCGAAGGTTGGGCACATGTTGGACATCCTTCAACACCAATGTACAACCAACATTTATTTTTATTTGAATATCACTAATTCCCAGGATCTTAGAAGAACTGGTGTTTTCCATCTTCACCGTACCAAAGTCCCCAGCTTTGTACGTCGAGAAGAAATTGATGTGAGAAGTAGCATGGTAAGAAGCTGCAATATCTACCACCCATTCAGCGTCATGGCCAGAAACATGAAGGCATGTCTCCTCATTAACAAAAAGAATGGCTACATTCCTTGATAAAGTGACTAACGTCTCTTCGTCTTGTTTCTTCGGCTGATTACAGCCTTGGCCTTGCTCTCGTAACAACTTGCGGCAGTTTTTCTTCATATGACCCTGCATACCACAATGGTAACACTTGTATGTTGGTCTTCCACTACCATTTGATCTCCTTACATCTTGTGACCTTCTTCTACTTTTACTCCTTCCTATTCCCTTGTTTCTGCTACCTCGTTTTTTGTCCCTACTCTCAGTGACGAGAGTATTTGATTGGTCAATCCCAACATCCTTTCTTCTTGTCTCCTCATTGAACAGGGCATCCTTAACCATTGACATGGTAAGTTTGCCTTCTGGTGCCAAATTGCTGAGAGAAACTACTAGCGTCTCCCAGTTGTCTAGTAGAGAACTGAGAAGTAGGAGAGCTTGTTCTTCATCGCCCATCTTCAATTCTACAAATGATAATTGATTTACCAGGCTCTGGAACTCACTGGTGTGCTCGGCAATTGAAGTTCCACCTTTTAATTTCAGGTTCATCAACCACTTGATCAAAATAGCTTTATTCCGAGCTATCTTGGCCTGGTACATGTCTTTCAGCTTCTTCCAGAGAACATAGACATCAGTCTCTTGTGCAATATGGTGGGATAAACTATGGTCAGTCCATTGTCTAATTTGACTGATGATTTTTTTATTTAGTTTCTTCCACTTTGTTTCTTGGTAGGATCTAGATTTACACATTTTACCTGCAAGGGATCATACAAGTCTTTACAGCTTAAGAGATCTTCCATCCGAGGTCTCCGAAGTGTATAATTGGAGATAGTGAGTTTGATCATTGCTCTCGATGTTAATTCCTCCATGGACAATTTGTATTTTTAGTCACTAAATATCTCAATAAAAAAAAAAGGGCTGAATTTTGTAAAACAGAGTGCACTGTTGTGTCCACCATGATTAAAATAGCTGGGAAAGAGTCCTGGTTCACCAAAAACGGAGTTAAAATGAGCTCAGAACTGGTTTGGAAAGTTTTTGGTAAAGCTAATGGAAAATTTCGTTAAACTTGATGGAATATACTGACGGTGACAGAATATTCTCTAATTGGAATATAATCTGAGAATATTCTTTGAAAATATTTTTTAGATGAAATATTTTCTAAAAATATTCTTATATTCTTTGACTGAGATAGAATATTCCTTGGGGATATTCCATCATCTTCAACCGTCCTCTGGTCATCGACTGGCGAAATTTTTCAGCAAAAACTCTGGCGACCTCCTGCCAACTCCGACTACCTCCGGATGCCGATCAACTTTACAACGAAATTTCGGCGAGGACCATTAGAGAGAGCCCAACGTCGGATTGATGCGAGGTCAATGGGGTTCGACTCGTTTCGACGAGAGGAATCCAATGCTGCAGTCAAAATTTGATTTCGAGTTCGTTTAGTACCTGTACGAACCAAAAACAGTGGGTTGAAAAAATTTTCTAGCGGCCCAATCAAAGCTTTGATATTACTTGTTGGTGACCCAGGGCCAGAAAATCACATCTAACATAATATAAACAAAGAGGACTACCTTATTGCCCTACAAGGAAATAAATAAAAGAATTTTTCATAAGAAAACTCTCGAGACCTTTTCGGGATCTCTTTCTCTCTTTGTTTCTTGTTCACTATTTTGGAGTGATTTTGGTTTTCATTGCGCTCTCTATTTATAGGGACTTTCTAGCCAAAAAAAAAAGAGGGCTCCCAAAAATTCCGGCCGGCAAAAACTCTGGCAAAAATTTTCTGGCGACAACTATTCCGACGAAGTAGATGCTTGGCATCTTTGACTGAGATTTCTGAAACTTTTGAAATAGCTGGTCCCGACAATATAGCATCCATAAAAGAACATGCTAGATAACTAAGGTCTTCTTGTGCGTTTGGATTCCTCGTCATGTCGAACAATTTGACTAGAATAAAAATTGGCAGCTGATTTTCTAGTAATAATAAATCACGCCGTATCTCATGTTGAAACCGAAAGAATTGAAAAATAGGGCCATTTTTGTTCTGAACCTCAAAAAATTGGTGATCCGGGATTGTCATATCTATCAAAATTTCAACCTCATCTCTGCGAAACAATTCAATCATAAATAACCCATCAAGAAGCATCATTTTAAGAAACTCATCTTTATCAAGGTTACTAGACTATGCATAACACTATCTTGCTCCCTCTTCCATGTCACTCAAGGCCATGATGTATTTATCCACACTCGTCTCATTTCTTCGTTCAAGAAGTTGCTGCACATACCACAATTTTTGCTCTTCCATCCCTTGCAGCTTTTTGTCACCATGGTAATAAGGACCAATAACAAGTACTTTTAGCTCATAGGCTTCCTTATTTTCTCCACGCAATTTATCATACACCTTGAAGATGCAACAAACCATGGGTGTACGAAAAGCAAGCGAGCTCTTTGTCTATGCTAGGAGATGTGATCAGCTCTTTTAGACATAATTAGCACCTACAAGTAGATAGTTACCTCTGCATGTGGCATACATATGCGAAAGAATGGGGTGGGGTAAAAAATAATTAGAACCTACAGTTATAGATGAAAAGAAAAATGTAAATACAATTCTTATTTGGCCAATTTAAAAATAAGAAACCTCAAAGGACAGGATCCTAGTACACCCTTTCAATCGTTCTTTTCATCGCAGTCTTAATTTGAAAAATCGAGCTATCAATAGACAATTAAAAGAAATAATTGTGAAATCTCACAACATATTAGTAAAGTTTGCGTGACATGTAGGAGTAACAACTAAACATATATATCACAACAACAAAATTGTTGTCATAGCAAAGCTATATAGGTGGTGTTATTATCTTTTGTAGATACTATAACACCGGTCAATTTAATTTCAACATTGTTCTCGGATATAATACCCAGGAGAATTTTCATCCCAACAACAATAATTCATAAATAAGGGGATCAAAAAATTAACATAGGTTAAAGTAAGTTGGAGGATCGTATGATAGTTTTAGAGTCAAGCCGGAAGGCTTCTAGTGAGCTTAAGCTCAAAACAGAGTCTAAATTGTGCCTTATTTACTAAGCTAAATGGACTACACGTTATATATAATGAGACCATAACAATCAAAGCAGATGTGCAAATAAATTCAACTACTTATTGGTTCTGCCTTTCGTTCTTTGCTCATCCACTACGTCTTCTACACTCTTTTTTTTTGGGGGGGGAGGGGGAGAGGGAGAGGGACTTGAACCCATAACCTCAATAAGATAAAATCTTCATAAGATAATGAGTATCATTGGACCAAAGGCCCATTGGTAGTCATCTACACTAATTGATATTTTCGGGATAGAATGTTATTTGACAATGTAACAAGGATCCATCATTACTTTGTAATAGAGGGTAAATACATTTCGCATAATCCATGTAATCTATGTCGCGTCTTGTTGAGCTCTCTTTATCAAAAGTGAAACCAAGAATAACAATGTCCAAAACTCACAAGCCAAGTATCTTCCATCTGTGAAAGTGAAGATTTTTGTGGCAACAATTATTGTGGAATACTATGAAAGAGGAGTTCTTGATGAATTTCTAAATGTTCTATGATGTTTCCTTTGTTAACCATTGCATTACTTAGAAATTCGGCCGTTCATTTAGAAAAAAAGGAATTAGGGTTGCAACTTAGGCAGGTTGGGCGGGTTGGACAGTCAACCCTAGCCCAACCCTAAATTATACCTAACTCTAATCCTAACCCTACCTCGAGTTGAGAAACTCAACCCGAGCACTGCCCAAGTTTAATTCGGGCGGGCTTGGGTTAAATTCGGGATGATTTCGGGCTGAATTGGGGTTACTTTACGGGTTTAATTCAGGTTGAGTTTGGGTAGAATCCAAAATAAACTTGTTGTTCTAAACCCAATACATATATTATATAATATTTACTTAAATTAACAACTAATAACTTCAACCAAGTTTTTAACAGTGCTAATGGTAGAACAAAATGAAAATGAACGAGATATACAGAGAACGATAGAACAAAAATAAAAAACTAGTGCTAATGCTTTATATATATAATTTTTTTTTTAATTTGTCAGGTTCGAGTTGAACCCATGAACCCGAGGTCTTAACCCGAGCTCAACCTAAATTGAATTCAGGTTAAAATTTTTTAACCCAAGTCCAACCCAAGTATTAAAAACCCTTTCTCAAACCCTAATTTTTTTTGGTTGGGTTCGGGTTGCCCAATCCAAGTTACACCCCTAAAAGGAGTCGGTTATGGACAAATAATAGTCCATCATTACTACATATGTAAAAACAAGTTGATTTTTTTTNAAATTTTTTAACCCAAGTCCAACCCAAGTATTAAAAACCCTTTCTCAAACCCTAATTTTTTTTGGTTGGGTTCGGGTTGCCCAATCCAAGTTGCACCCCTAAAAGGAGTCGGTTATGGACAAATAATAGTCCATAATTACTACATATGTAAAAACAAGTTGATTTTTTTTAAAAGTCTCAATGATAATTTGGCTAGAAATGGTAAATTTTACATAAATTTTTAAGCAAATTTTATTTTATACCCTAAAAGATTTCATAATTCTCATTTTATACCGTTAAAAATTAAATTTCTCATATTACACTCTCAATATATCAAAAGTGTTGTAATATGATCATTCTGTTAGTTTTTCTGTCAAATATTAAATTTCGTGGAATGTCTGCTGAACTATGACAATCAATTTCAAATTGCTTGAAACTCAAGTACTTGTTGATATCGGAAATGGTCATGTGTTTCACACAATGACCCGGAAAGATATTCTTGGCTTAGGACAATTGTTGTCCTTTGTCTCACTTTTATAAAAGAAAATTCTATGTACCATATAGAATGCGTGACCTGAGTAGCAAATAATTCTAAACTACTATAAAATCAAATACTTCTTGTTAAGTTCCAAACATTTGTTTGGCTTATGTTATTTCATATGTGTTTCCCACTTTTCGCCTGCCCCAAATCATTTTCTTATTTTTGACATAGATATTCTGCTTTAACTGGACCGGGGAGTGAATTAATCGAAGTGCGTTTAAACTGGTTTAGACACTCTTAACCGTTGGACAAAAAAAAAAGTCACTTCCTTATATAACTATTATAATCATTCTCTTTTATTGACGAGTGGACGTGAAATAACTCGGCTTATAATTGGTTTTCATTTTCAGTATGTTTGTTGTATGCTTTGAAATTCCATGAGATAACAAATTGTAATCCACTTACTTATGAATTATTTGATATAATTGTCAATAACCTCATATATGTTTTCAGTTTTAATTTGGAAAACATGAAAATGATCAAGTTTTTGAAAAAGGACATTTGTACATCAATATAAGTCCTTAATCACCTTGGTTTGGTAAACGAGACAAGGCAGCAGGCGCAACCTTAGACATTTTTGGAACATAAAGTTGAAATAATAAATGATTTTTTTTAATTTTTAATATTAATAATGAATTTAATTTTTAATTTTTGAATTATAAAAATATTAATTAAGTTTTTGTATTCAAGCTTTTGTTATCATATTTGAACTTCACGGTGACAGAGAAACAGACAGAGAGAAAGAGGGCAGGGAGGGATGGAGGGAGAGGATGATTGAAAAAATTATAATGGTAAGTTTGAACTTGACTTTGTTGGGGGTTGAGACTTGATTTTTCAGATTTACTGTTAGTTTTTTTTCTTGTCTTGTTTTTTTCAAGAAATTGAATTTTAGGGCCTTCTAATTTTGGGGCTGAATTAATAAGCCTAATATAGTCAAGTTGAAATATTTTGTTTGGTCATAAATCTATGATTTTTGTGGGGCCTATTTTTTAATGGATTCACATTTTATGTTTTGACTATTATTACACACCTATAAATGAGGTCTTAGAAAGGGAAATACTATCTAACTCAAATCTGCAATCTAAATTTGCATCTCAAATAAAGGGGATCATTAGATGAGTGGGTCCTATCAATTTTTTTAAATGGGATCTACTGATCCAATGGTTCCTCTTCATTTGAAATGTAAATTTAGGTTATACAGCATTGCAGCTCTTTTTAAAGTGGGACTAAAAACCTAAACTTTATTGACCTAATGATTTGGCCGGCTCTTGAGACGGCTTTCATAAATTTAAGTACGACTCATTATATGTAAGTGAGCTTTTTATCAAGATCTAAATCTGCATTAGACATTTTTTCAACCATGGATCTAAATTGTAGGGATTTGCTATAGAAACATTCATCACTCGCCTTTCCGGATTTCATATTAATGAAAAAGGCAACGATATGATTATACTTTTCTGCATGCTAATTATACATTTGTTTTTTAGCTTCATTTAAAAAGAGCAATCATGCGATCTCAAAAAATTAATAGGAGTTTCATATGATAGGTCAGAGGCAAGCCAGTAGGATCTAGAGAGCTGACCAGGTCTGTCTTTGATCGGATCGGAAAGAGTATTAGTTGAGGTGAGCATAAATTGACACGGATACCCCTGACTGTTGAACCAAAAAACAAAATCAAAGTAGATGCTCAAATAATTCCACAACTTACTGGTTCAACCTATGGTCGTTTGCTCATCCACCAAGTCTTCTACGCAGACCAAAATTTTGGGATAAAATTTTTTTTATGACAAAGTAAGGAGGACCCATAGTATTTTGTTATAGGATAGATACATTTTGAACAATTCAAGTAATCTATGTCGAATATTGTTGAGCGGTCTTTATAAAAAGTGAAACTAATAACAACAATGTCTAAAATACTAATTGTTTGTCATCATTTAAAGTTGTGAAATCTTAGAAATCAACCATTTCAAGAAACTAATTGTTGTGATTTAATATGCTTTAAATCCACAGACAAACACACACAATCGAAGAACAAATCAAGAACAGAAAGCAATAAGAAACAAAAAAAAATAAGACACAAAGATTTTACGTGGTTCGACAATTTGCCTACGTCCACGAAGCTGCAGGGTTTTCACTATTGAGAGAGAGGATTATAGAGAGAGGCTATACACCATAATCCAACCTTAATCACCAAAGTAGCGGTCTTTTATATGTCCTACGTATCGGGCTATAGAACAGGCCCAAAAATTTTCCTCGGGGGTGTTGCCCCCAAACCCCCACGAGGCTTGTTCATGAGAGCTACGACTTGGGCGCTCCATGGACCAAGCCTCAGAAAATTTCCCATTAAAAAACTACACAACATTACTTCGGTGTTGGGTCATCATCCGGATCAACATACAAATTAGAATCCACAAAAGGCCCAACACTAATCTCCTCCAATCTCTTGTCCAAAAGGCTTGAACTCTTTCTATTTTTCACAAATATTGTGTTGGAATATGTTTTTCTGCAAAAAGCAGAATTTTGGTGTCTTGGCTAGTTAGAAAATCAGAAGATATTTTGGTCTTATTTCGTTTTTGTATGATAC